AGCTCACTGCAAAGACTCCTCAAGATGCATTTTTTGATGGAGAGATAAGTAATCGAAATATGAAAAAGAAATTGTGGTCTTTAGGAATGTTGTTATATTAATTCTTTGATATTGTGGAAAAATGCAATATTCTTGTTGTGGTGAGCTTGCAAATATAGGCATGTTATGTGATATCTGCCTGCCACTAACATTATAGAAGTATTTGAACGTAAGTGGAGACAACAGTGTTTGGGGGGGATAGGGCAGGGAGGGCTAGGGATGAGGTCATCATTTGGAAATGATAAGAAAAAATAATACAACTTTGTCCTCTCATATAATGCAATGGGGAGGGGGGTATTAAAGGATTTTTTTTTTTCTACCCCTAACTTAAATTTTTAGTGTTAGAAAACCAAAATTTAAGTCCTGCGTAATTCAGGTTTTTCTTGAACAAAAAGGTTAACTGGAGAATTAGTTACTCTGTGATTAAAAACATAGCAAGCAAGGGAAACCATAATTAAAGAAGGGAGGAACCAGCCTTTAATGAGACTTCAAAATTACTTTCAGCATTCACTTCATTGAAAAATTTGAAGAAAAAAATGCAGGAGAATAAAAGTCTTGTAGAAGATCTAGGCTCTCAATTTGTTTCATTGAGGAGCTGGAAGAATTCCCAACTTATGTCAGACACAGTTCTTCTGAGAAGGGGAAAAACAGCCCGTTGTTTGTTCCCAGCATAAAAAGTAACAATTTTAAAAGTAGTTTTTAAGATTTCTCTAGAAAAAGAAAGTTTATAAAAAGGTGCAGACTGTTTCTTCTCTACCCCAACCATAAAAGTAAAACTTTGTTGTTTTAAGCTCTTAAGTTCTTCCTTTAATCTTCCAGAAGCACACTGTGGTGCACTCACTTTCAGGCCTTTTACTGCAGTGCAGCCATTATGTGACAGCCATATTACAGTGCATCTTCTGTATTTCTAAAAAAACAAACCAACCAACCAAAAGGTTTAATCTCAGACTACTTGACAGTGAAACTGCAACGAGTAAATGGTCAGATATTCAAAGTGCATCTTTTGCAGGTGAGCCACATCTGCCACAGGCAGAAGGGTTTTCTGGCTGAACGGCTGTTGAGCTCAGGCTATCCTGTTGGATGCTTTCCTTATCATACCAACATCGGAAATGATTTGCACTTCCTGCTGGATCATGAGAGCAAAAAAATTCTGAAAAAAAAGTCAAGCAAGATTCAGTCTTGCCAAGTCTATTACTCTGGCACCAGTATTTGGTTTCTCTGCTGATGGGTTTGTCTGTTCAAACCAGCAACACTCTTGCAACATCTAAGTCAAAACTTAAGTGTGATGTCTGAGGTCTTTACAAAGACGGGTAGGATACAAGTTAGTCCAGCGTCAGTGATTAGCTGAAGTACACACAACACATAAAGGTCTTCCAGGCTGGCCTGTATTAGAGTGGAGGACTTCCATGCCTGGGCAGACCTCTCGCCTGTCTCATGTGGAGTAAGTTAGGATTTCAAGCAGTAATCTCCTGTTCTCTTGTCCAAGGCAGGTTCAACTCTGTTGGTGCCCTTTCTGAAAGGTGTTTGCCTGACCTGTTCATGAAGACTTCAGAGACTCTTCAGACGGTACTGCTTCCCAGCAGTATCGTATCCTTCTGATCAGTTTGACGTCAGAGTCTTCTCTCTTAAACTAACTCTGGTGCTGTATGTTTTCCTCACCTGAAAACACCTTTCGTGGGAATGGAAGATAGGGTAGACCATTTTACCTGGCCCCTTTGGCCTCTTCCTGTTGTCTGTGCCATCTTACAAAAATTATTTTAGTAGGTTTTGTTTTGGCTTGGGTGGTAGAAGAAACTTAAACCATTGAAGCTGTGCAATATGTTATTCCACAAAGAAAAAGTAATTCTTACCTTAAGTTTGTTTCCGGCATGGTTTTTTTTATTTGTTTTGGTGTTTTCCTTTCAAATCATCCACTCTTATCTCAGTCGCTGTAAAGGGGAGCAGATACAAAGCCGAACGTTACCTTTGGTTCAGGAAAAACTCAAAAAATCTCTAAACTATACAAGCCTTGGCTACTAGGCTAAGGAACGGTATTACGTGGGTAGTCTTTGATTTGACTGTCTCGGCTTGGCTGAGAAAGTGAAATTAGACTTTCTCCAGGTTAAAGCTTGCTGATCCAGAATTTAGGTGGCCTCTGAGCTCCTCTTGTAAAGCACCTTAACACCTGAAGTTTGGCCTGCTTTACAGCTTCAGGGTCGGGTGATTGCCTTGCTCTTCTCCTTTGCTTAAATAGGAATGTTATCATTCATCTTGTATTGCAAGTCAGAGAGATGAATTGTACAGACAGATGGCTTGAAACAGGCAGGTTATTACAATGATAGTCCTCCTATATGTAGTGCATATGGATTGTGTGTGAACTGCCATTCTCTCCTGCTATTTTCATGTCCTTTGCCACCTGGATTCTCAATTGACTGAGGCACAACTAGGCATGCACACAGTTTTTTTTTTTTCTTCTTTCTCGACATATGCAAACCCCAGCTCAGTTACAGAAGAACAGACACTGCTTCTGAACAAAATCCGATTTGTTGTGTGTGGGCATGTATGCGCCTCAGAAGAGGAATTAATGTAGCCAGTATAATTAATGTTGAATAAGTAGTTGTTTACTCTTGGGCTGGGCTTGGCATGATTTGTGATGGTATGACATGGTGTTCTACCAAGCTCCCTTCTATTATCCACATTCCTAATGCTTTTAAAAATTGTTTGGTGTTTTTTTTAAATAATTGTTTACAATAATACTTTAAGTTTTGTAGGTTGTGAAAAGACCTTTGAAAATGTGGACTCTGTACATCAATACAGGAAGGACTGTCTCAAATTAGAAAGGGACTAAAAAAAGGTATTCCGAGAGATGCATCAAATTCCTGTTGAAGTACACAAAAGTAGCTCAGTTATCTAATCAAGATAACTATGAATATTAGTGTTCCTACCCGTTTCACCCCTCTCTGAAGAAGAGCAAGTATGGAATTGATCTCACATCCTACAAGCTGTTCAGAGTGACTGTTTGTGTCTCTTGAGGAAAGATATTGCTGCTTGCCGTCCTTTCAGGCCAGTGTTTAAATTCCAGTCTGGAAACCATTACTGAAAACCACGGTGGAATGCAGCGAGGTATTCGGCTTTCCTGTGGAGTCACCTGAATATCTGCAGAAACCCTGTTTAGAACTGCGTGTGCAGTCGGAGACTGATGTATTTAGCTCTGATATTTAAGGTTTGTAAAGAAGGGTTTGAGGATTTTGCTTTTAGTTTGTGCACCTGAGTAGGTTCCAAAGCTCAAAGCTTTCACTGAGTTAAATAATAAAGACTACGTTTCATTCTCTTGGAGTTACTTGTTTATTCATGTTTAATGATCCAAATGAAGCATTTGCTTAATAAATATGTTATTGAAAACATATTGGATGTTTACACATTTACTAGCTTTAAAGTGTTCTTAAGTGACCTTTTAATGCTCTTGTGTTTAATTCCCTATCTACCTTCTTCTTTAAAAACATGAATGAAAGCACGCAAGCGGACAGTGGATTTGTAAGACTTCTGCATAGATACATGTGAGGAAGGATTTCTTACAGCATCTACTTTTAGGCTGCCTTTGGGAAATCAAATCTTAGAAGGCCAGGTTGGAAGCTGAGATTCCATACATGTCAAGTGTTGGGTGTTTCTAATTGCTCCCTGGGGACACCTAAATTAGATGTCTGAAATGGTCTCCATGAATACCCCATGCTACGTCCCTGTTCTGTGTCTGCCAGCCTTTCAGTGCAAGGGCTGAGGTATTTCTTCATGGTGGTACGGCAAAGGATCGTGTTCCTGCCAAGATTCATTAGAATAAAACAAACTGAGGAAAGCATTTAACTGTAAACTTTCTGAAACAAAGTAAATCTATATTTAAAAAAAAACCCTGTATAAATTATACTACCTATGCGTATAAATATTGTTGACCAGTGTTCTTGTAGGAATTCCACTTATTAGCAGTAGATTATTTTGTCCCTTGTATATTGCTTGGCTTTTTTCTGCTAGGAACTGTTGTATATCCTGTAGAAATCCACAGACTTTTATTGTTAATATGTTGTGGAACTTACTCCCGTTTTCAAGCTCATACAGATTGCAAAGTCCTAACAAAGCGATGAATGTATTGAGTATGATGCACTGCTATTTGGGATGTGAATCCCAGGCTATGTTCTTTTTTGCACTGTGTGTATTTCCACCTACAAGACAAAATGTGGCTACAGACCATGCAGAAGTCTCTTTTCGGTATCTTAGAAACACAGATAAAAACCCGTGAAGTTTCCCTTGTTGTGGAACAGAACAGCCGCGTACTTTACATTTTGTAAGCTGCATCAGATGTTCCAGTCCAATTTCAGGCTGAGCAACGTGCAGTACTTTCCGAGAAGAGTGGCCATGTTAAATGGCAGGAACACAACTGTAAAATACACATTATATCTGTTTCAGTCTGCATGCAAGTAGTGACAGGTGCTCAATGGTTGTCAGCGTCCTTGTCAGCATGGAGACTCCTTTGACATTAAAGTCGCCGGCTCGGTCCTGATGCTGCGCAGCTCTATTGGCAGTTCCATCAGGCTGCAGCCCATCAGCCCAATGTCAGAGCCTCCGCTCCTCTTCTGGTACGTCGCCAGCCCTCTGTGTTTTCAGGCTGCCCTTGCCTGTTATTTGAACTTGCCACGCTTCTTCAGCAGCTTTCCTATGGGAAATGAGCAGATAGGTCATGGGTGTGGGGGTATCTTCAGGGCCATGCAAAACCCTGTCCAAAGTGACTTGCATAAAGGTTTGTAACGATTACCGTTGCTTTACGCCAATCAATGGGTGGAGTACCCAGGGACCCATTAAGTGGCATTTGTGGTGTCTGTAACAGAGTTTTGAGCTGTATTTCAGGAAAAGCGGTGACAGCCTTTAATGTCTAATTGACCTCTTCTCTTTGTTTCGCTTTCCATGTTCCCTTCTGACGCGTTCCCCCGTGGCAGCAAACAGCCCTGCTCAGTATTCTGAACTTCTGCTCGGAGCTGCAGCACCTCAGCCTGGGCAGCTGCGTCATGGTGAGTACTTACACCATGCCCGAGGGGTGCATGTGTGTGCACGCTTGCTATGGAACTAGACCTAGGTTTCTGTTTCACAGAGACAGGTTAAATGCGAGGTTGATGTGATACCGTACTCTCTTGAAAGGTCCAAGATGAATGCAGCTTAGTCATATACTTAAGGGTTACATACCAATTTAGTAGGCCTAAAACACAGCTTGTAGGCTTTCTCATAGTTCTTCCGCCTCTTCCTGAATTTTGGGGCGTTCTTCATAGGCATAATCACTTTTTTTTTTCCCCCCCAAAACTAATCAAGACTTATTTATTTTTGTTCAGACCAAATCATCATTCCTAGCAGACTTACGCTTGTGTCTGACTCTGCAGTAATAACCATGAGAGAAATATTTTCAGCAAAAGCCGTTTGAGTCATAGGCTTGCAGGGCGCACTTGTTGATTTAAAGAAAGAGAAAACAGGGACAGCAGCAGTTCCTGCAGAGCACTCGTCTGACCTGTATCGCACATGCGTGCCAGAGCTATATGTAGTGGGATTCTGGCTTGCTGCTATCCCTGGTGGTAGACAGGCCAGATCACTCGTCAGGCAGACTTAGCTGACCTTCCTCATCGTTCAAGAAGCAAGCAACAAAGCAGAATTGGCTCAGCCCTCCCTGCTTTGACTCGTGGACAGAAGAGGAAGGCATTGTGACTACATTTTTCCAGCAGTCCTTGTCTTCCTATGATTTTTGATAGTGGATTTCATTCCTTCTGCGCAAATAGTGGGACCCTGTTTCAGTCCCTTTGGCTTGCTCAAGGTAACTAGTAAGACTTCGATAAGGAGATGCAGCAACTGGTCAACCTGGAATGGAAATAAGCACATTCTTCAATCTGCATGTGCTTATAGTGGCAGTGCCTATGGTGATAAGAACAGTTTTAATCTTTTGAAGGGAGAACAGCTGTGCAATAAAAAGAAGGGGGTTTCAAAGAAAATGAACTTTTCACTGTATTTTCACTCGTCTTTAGAATTAAGTGAATTTAAAAACACACATGCCTGGGGGCTGATAGGAAATTTGGTTTATTTTTGTCTTTAGTAAAAGTAAACGTCACTGTACTCTACAGTGAATAATTTTCAGAGCTCTTTAGAAATGACAAATGCTCGACAGATCTGTAGGTGTGTTAGCAAGCAAATCTTGAAACACCTATGTAGGTCTGGAAAGATGGTATACATGACAAAGTGTTTGCTTTCCTTGCAGATTGAAGACTATGATCTTATAGCAAGCATGATGGGAGCAAAATGTAAAAAGCTTCGCAGTCTGGATTTGTGGAGATGTAAAAACATAACTGAAAGTGGAATAGCAGAATTGGCTTCAGGCTGCCAGCTTTTGGAAGAACTTGATCTTGGCTGGTGCCCTACGTTACAGAGCAGTACAGGCTGCTTCACAAACCTTGCACGTAAACTCCCAAACTTGCAAAAGCTCTTTCTTACGGCCAACAGGTCTGTGTGTGACACGGACATTGAGGAGCTCGCTGCTAACTGTACGCGTTTACGGCAGCTGGATATATTGGGTAAGAAAATGTAGAACTATTGGTATATTTCTTACTGTGTCCCAGTAGCCTTGCAGTTAAAAAGGAGTCCTTGAGACAAAACTGTCTTCTAGACATATTTTTAAACAAATATTTCTCAAAATTATGGCTCAGCATATGAAAAAAAAAAAAAGAGGGAAGTTTTGCTCACTGCAGTGAGTTTCTGACTTAGACTCCAGTGGATTTATACCAACCGCGTAAACTGACTGCTTAGTATGAATTGCTTAAACTCAGATTTAAGTGTGAGATTTTTCCAGGAACTTTTAGTTCCATGACCATTAGTTTTTTTAACTGAAATCTTTATCTTTTGACTATCAGAAGATCCAGTTCTTCTCCTCCTTTTGCTTTTGTTTGTTGTTTCATTTCTGTGAAGTGTGACAAAGTATATTTATAGTGCGAATCTGTGACCCATAAACAGATTTCTGCTTTTTGCGCAATACTGATACACCAAGCAATATTGAATTTCTTTGTCACTTTTACCAGGAAGTGAATTTAACTCATTAAAGAGGAAAAGGTAATTAACAATAAAACTTAAAATGGACTTTCTACTGAGGTGGCAAGGAAGTGATGAAGGGCAAAAAGCATAGCAAATCTTAAATTTTTAATCCTCTGCAGCTTCTATAGTTAAAAATATTTTTAGAAATCTAAAGTAAATGTACTTTGGACTCTTGAGTAAGGACTTTGAGAAATGTAGTTTTGCGTGATACTGAATTTAGTCTTTTTATGGTGGAATATGAGGTTTTCTTTTTAAAATAATGGAGGACAGCAGGGTTGTTCATGAGATCAAGGTGGGAGAAATTTCTTCATGCTTTTACTGACTTATTTTCACAGGGTTAGTTGAAAAAGGAAGATATAAATTAAAGGGAAGAAAGTATCTGCACTGCATATTTTTTATACTTAATAATTTTAATGAAAATACTACATTTAGGTTGAGAGAGGTGCTGGAAAGAACTAAGATTGAAGAACTTGAATAACAATCCAAGCAAGTTTAAGGCTATCAGCATTTCTGGTTACAAAAAATTCACCACGTGGCGTTGGATTGTCACTTCAGTATAGCTAGCACCCTCTTCTACTGTGAAATACGGTTTTACTCATCTCTGACTGAGAAAGTTGCTTTCTGACCAACGTGGGAAAGGAGGATGAACAGATAAAAATTTACCTGCACCTAGTACAAATTGTAGAGACTTGATGTATGCGGCCACAGGACGCAACGTTTTTTGTATATCCTTAAGGAAACCTATTTTGCAGCTAGATTATCAAGGGCACATTTGCCTATTCAGACATGAAAAATTGCCAAACGGCATAGTGAATGGAGTCTTCCATGAACACCTATGTTCTCCTGACCACCCACTCCCATCCATTTCTATTACAATGGCATTGTGTCTGCCCACAAACTGGTCTGACCTTCTCACTACACCAGAGGCTGCCCAGTGAATAGTTCGGCTGTGTCAAGCCTACGGATAGTCTGCTACTTCTGTTGCCTCTCTGCTGGCAGCGAAGGTTTGTTGCCACACTTCTCCTTTAGGATTTGAATTCACATTTGAATTTGGTTTAATATCTTATTGAGGTTTTTGTGGAAAAATTAATGCGTGAATGTGGAAAAGGAATTTGTTCTGTACCCTGGGTGCTTACCAGTATTCTTGAGTCAAGTAGGTTTGTAGTCGGCTTTTCCCAGTGAGAATGCATGTTTGGTTCAGATGGGTGCTTTCCAGAGGATATCCAGTTGAATTATCTGCAAGATGTTACCAAAACCCTTAATATCCACCTTCCAGACCTTCCTTTCTTCCATCAGAGGAATATTTGCGGGGGAATCCTGTCTTCTGCTGTAAACGAGTCAGTACAAGGTGATACGATATATATGAAGGAGTTACCCAGCTTTTTTGGCAATAGCAAGGAAACTGCGTTCATTTCTTTGTCTGAAAATAGGAACCATTATAGTCTGTGGTTAAAAGAATGAGTTGTCAGGTAGAACCACGTCGGGTCACCTGGAGGTAGAGTTGCCAGGTATAGCAAGTGCAGAAGTCGCTGTTGTCTGAACTAAAGAGCTGGTCTCTCCCAGTGCAGGAGTACGGAGAAAGTCATAAATCTCTGTATGTGCTCTAACTATTGGTGGCTGATGTAGGACCATCCTGTTACTATAAGCTGTATAAGATGCTTAATATGTTTTTGTCCTTTTGAAGAAGTGTGACAACAGGTCTGAAGCTGTTAGAGGCCTGAGGTCAACGCTCAGCTTTGCAAGAGTAACCTTGAACAGTGGGTCTTCTCTATGATGTGAATGAACGAGAGCTACTCTCATTATATCCTTTGTCGTCTCCCAAGTACAGAAATGTCTGGCTTGTACACGCATTGTGAAAGGTGTCGAGTATTGCTGCTAGGTTAGCAGTGCATGCTGTAAGGGAACGTCTTTTGCTTCAACAAAGCTGTGTAAAAGCTTAAGGTTTTTCGCTATATACAGGCACTTACCTAAGTAAGGGATCAGAATGTCTTACCTTGCACTGCAGTCACCAGCGGTGACAATACTGTACTGGGTTTCTCTCTGGTTAGAACTTATGAACTTGTCAGGGAGAACTCCTTGTTTCAGTTATAGATCATTTATCATCACAATAGCTTCAGGACTGGAGGAATCTAAGCCTCTGAAAGACATCTCGTTGAACCATGTGTCATTCATTGAAGTGTTACAAAATGGATATTATATATACCCTGGATGCTGTTATCAGGTGGCAGGTCCTGCAGCTTGCTACCCATCTCTCCTTTCCTTAGTCTCTCCCTTATTGTTTGGCAGTTCCCTTGTTACAGAATCAGAGGACTCCGAAGAAGATGAGAATTGCCAGTTTTCAAGGGCTCCATAAAATTATTGGCCCATGTAAAGCATTTTTTGATGGGTGGTGTGTAAAACATAATTTAGAAAGTAAATTTCTGTTAAAAAAAATAAAATCTTGAGTTGGATCCATATCTGCTATATATTACAATACAGTTTGGAAGAGGAAGCACGACGATGTGTGTATCACTGAGTACGTGAGGGTGTGCTTGAAGTTTTAGTTCTGAGCTTTCTTTTACCCATTACATACTGAGCTGCCTCCTTACAAGTATCGTTTCCTTCTCTGCCCACACCCTTTCCACTGACTGACGTGATGGGTTTCCACCTCGCAGTAGAATGATCCGGCTGTGATCATCTGACAGTTTTGTAGTGACGGAGTACATCATCCAGTGCTGTCAAAAGTTAAGTGGACACCTCTAGGCCTGTAGTTAAAAAAACAATCTTCAAACTGTGATCAGCATTGAGCAACGTGACGAGTCAGATGACAACCTGGATTGGCAGTGCCAAAAGCTTTTCTTGTACATAGTATCAGCTGCTTAGTTATGGTGCTGTGGGGCTACCAGCTGCTGTCAAGGATGAAGAATAAGTCATCTTAACCTCACCCCCCAAAAGTCCCGGCTGCCTGTCCTGCACAAAAAGAGTAATGAAAAGTAGACACCCTTGTTAACGCAGAATTCATGTATTCCTGTCTACATACCAACACCTCCCACACCTTCCTGAGCAACAGAAAACCCAACTGCCCCCTTGCCAGCTGTCAAAATTTTCAGCTTTATCTTGAGAGCATCAACACGTAGTTAGTCAATTCAAACATGAAAACGTGTAGCACGTTAAAATTTAGAATTTGTGTGCAATAGACTGAATAAAATGTAAAGAATAAAAGGCTAGTCTGACTGGTCTAGGAGAGGAAAGAAAAAGTAAGAACATTTGAGGGAATAGTGCTAGTTATTTTCAGGGCCTCTACTCTTAAATATTATTTGGTGTGTAGTAGTATCCCTTGGCCCTAGAAACTGGAGCTGTGGCAATTTTTATAGCCACCATACACAGATCTCCTGAACAGCTCTAGAATTTGAAGACTTGGATATATGATAGACTGTAAATTATTTAATTTATATCTAGTAAAGAAGTCATTACTCGGAAGTGTCTTTTACAAAGAAAATCCCAGAGAATTTTTCCAGGGAATAAATGGAACAGCAAAATTAAATAGCTGATTTTAATATACCAGTTATGTATTTATTCTGAGAGATGGCTGATTACTCCATGTAGGAGAAGTTGTAGTAAGAAACAAAACCTCCAAACTCTAGAAAAATGCACTATATAGGTAATTAGCAGGATATGTTGCCAGTCTTTCAAAGGCAAGGGGAAATGTGCAGTATTACGCTTCTGAAATTCTTTTGAATGTGCTTTTAAGAAATAATGTATCACTGATTGTACACTGTATAAATAAAAGTAAGGCTGCGGGTGATGTTTGCTTATCCCCTGGTGTGAATAACCAAACCCCAACTAGATTACTGGCTTTTTTACCTTTTGGAAAAAGATATTTCCTAACATACAATTTCAAGCCTGAGGAGGAAAAAAGAAACAGGTGCGGTAAAGCACGTAATTTAGGATGGCCTATTTAGTTACCCATCCATGTAAAATCTTAGTCTTAGACAAAATGGTAGGAGAACTGTCGCAGGTTCAGGTAGGAAGGAATGAAGAACATCCTACACAAAAAATCTGTGGCTAGGCATCTAGATCTAGCATTTTTGTAGAAAGGCACATTTGGATCTTGAAGCTTAAGAACTGTGATGTGTAAACGAGACTGGTTTTAAATGAAGGTGCTGATGCAGTAGCAATTTTAAGGCTTGGCGGAAAAAAGATGAGTAGCATAATGCGGTGTTCCTGGATTTTTGGTTGGAATGGTAGAGCAGGTCCTGCTAGGAGGATAGTGTGGTACAATTATGGTCAAGTGAAGTAAATAACTAAAGTGTATTATGGAATTTCTGTGTATGGCTATAAGGGCTGTTATACCAACCACCAGGCAAGTGTGGTGACAGTGATCATATAATAGTAGGGGAGTTAAAAATCACAGTCATAATGACAAGCTTTGATTACCTTTGTGTAGATGAGATAAAATTTGGGGGCATGATAGCAAAGACTGTTTTCAGGTGATATTAAATGCTATCTCAAAGCAACTAATCTGAGAGCCTACCATAGAAGAAGTGAAGACCATGCTTAGCTACCCCCTTGCTTAAAGACTACTGAAAACAGAGGCATCTCGCTGGAAATGAATCCTGTTCAGAGAAGAAAAATAGGAAGATGAACTCTAGAAAGTGAAACAAAATCACAGTAAGGCAGAATGAGATCTTAAAGAAGCATTGGCTAAAGATAAATGCTAAAACTGTGTTTTAGTCATGTAGGTTGATAGATACTCCAGATGTAAAGGATCGCTCAGAAACGAGAAGGCCATTGCAGAAGTGTTGCCTGTCCACTAGTGTTCATGGCAAAGGGGATCAAGTGGGCTGCTACAGCAGAGCCATTCTTTCCAGGAGATTAGCCTGGAAAGCTGCCTTAAATTGGGATGCCAATACAGAAAGCTTTTGAACAAATCAATACAATGTACAATAATAAATGGTTAGGACTAAATGGTATTTATGCAGCAGTTCTAAATAAGCTCAAATACAGGGCTGTGGAAGTCTTATTTCTAAGTGTGTGACCTGTCACTTAAATCAGCCACAGCAGTAGAGGAGTGGAGGGTTAGAAACATGGAAAAACCTCTTTAAAGGGTGCAGGTTAGAAGCTACAAAATAGTAAGGATGTCTTTTGCTCTGTGTAAACCAGTTGCAACCATAAGAAAGTCGGTCAGTCAGTGGATGTGAAGGCCATTACAATATTTTGAAGGAGAGCTGCGTCCCCCTGAGGATAGTTATGCCTCTCCAATGTTTTGGAATTCCTTGGAGTTCTTGGTGGAGGTGAGTACTGATCCAGTCCATAGAGGATTGGATTTTCAAAAGCTTTAGCCGAGGTTGTTCTGCTTTTGTAACTTAGCTGTCTTCTCCTGGATCGTAATGTGTGTTTCAAAGATAGACAACAGAGGATAAGAACATACCATCTCTTTGGAGCATGAAGTTACATCACCACTGTGGTCACCAAGGGTCTGTACTGAGCCGAGGGTAGAAAAATCTTAAGCTGAAGAACTTAATGCTGAAGAATTCAGAATGATCTTATGATACTTCGTGAACAGATGATAAAAGAGGAGGAAAACTGTTCCATCAAGTGCAAAGTAATTGCATGAGGCAAAATAACATTAACTAAGCATATGGGGGGTGGTTTTATATTAGTTACTGTTTTGAAGGAAGGTGATCCTGTGGACAGTTTTTGGGAAACATCAGCTTATTGCTTGGCATCATTCCAACAGACAAACAGAAGGGTAGGATTTTTTAGGAAAGAAATGGAGAAAACACCGTAAGACCTCATTATATAATAACTGACTTCGTGCCCTGTGCCCTGTATAGTTCTGGTCATCCAGTTTCAAAAGTACTAAATTAATGCAGAAACAAGACAACAGGGATCATCTGAGATACAAGATTCTGGAAAACAGACAGCCTTGAGGGAACAGAAGAGATGTCCATAGGATTATGAATGATGTGGAAATAGCAAACTGGGAGTGATGTCCCACTGCTTCTTCATGATTCATTGCCCCTTCCTTATTGCAATTAATAGGCAATGGGTTTAGTGCTGCTTTATTTCCTTTTTTTTTTTTTTTTTAAAACATTGTATAGTTAAAATGTAGAACTCATGTGAAGGGGCCGTAAGTATAAAGAAGTTCAGAAAAGTTCATGGAACGTATCTTTAGAAATCCCTTAACTGATAATTTTTGGCAGTTGAGAAGATCCACAGTGAAAAGCTGCTTTAAAAATCTGCTCTTGTGTTTTTTGGCTTTTTTTTTTCTTCTTTTTTTTGGGGGCAGGAAGCATTATTGGCCCCAGCCATAGACGTGATCATGGACTAGATGGCTTTTTGGGGTGCAGTGCAGCTTAAGATGGAGCTGTGCAAGTTGAAGTGTCTACCAGCAGGTGTCTGCAGTCATATTGGATCTATAAACTCTTTTTAGAGCCAGGAGAGCTTGATGAGCAACTTAGCCTACCGTAGACATCCAGGCTTGGTTCACTTGCCCAGAATAACCTGCCTGGCTTCCAGCCATTCCAGTAAGGCAGCAATCTCCTCCTGTGGGTCAGTGTCCTGTCTACCAGCTCTGTGTGGATGTCCTATGTGGTCTAAGGAAGCCCAAGGGGCACTGGGCACTTCAGGGAATGGAATCGTACCTCAGTGCCCAGTCAGCTGAACCAGGGGCTGAGCACCGTTGGCTGTACTGACTAGATGTCCATCAGCTAGAATGGGTGTGTGGATGCTTGCTTATAAATATATTTGATTTCTGACTCAATCCCATGCTTGATCTGAGCCTGCATGACACTTAGGAGTTCAGTCACTGCGGTCATGTTTTTAGCAGGGGTCAATAGTGTGGTTTCTGTTACGGTTAGTGGATATATAGATATGATTGGTAGTCTCTTGAACAACTGCCCCTGCATGTGCGTAACACCCCTACTCACTCTAGAGTCCTAGAAGCCTTGCTGGTTTATTTGGAATTGGAGTAGCCCATAGCAGCTCGCGTGCTGTGCTGGTCATTGCAGTCAGCAGGAGAGTCGTGAGAGCGTGGGTGTAGTGTGCTGTGTTGCTTGTTGCCAAAGCCCATCATCTGGTCACCTGGAGGTCTTGTAGCTGTGGGTACTTGGGGTCAGCTTCTGTAGTTAAAAATTCCCCTTGAAGTCGTAAAGTCGCCCCTCAATAGAAAATGATGGAGTTACTTAAGCAGTTGGGTTAGGAAAGTACAACAGGCTTCTTAAAGGCAAACATTCTGCACTGTCTCCGAGAAGCTTTTAATTTTAAATCTAGTTGAAATAATCTAACCAAAAATTGTGTATTAACAACTTCCTTTTTTTTCATGACACAGTATTAGCAGCTTTAAAAAAATAGACTATTCTCTGTAACCTTACAATTTGTCTTGTTTCCTTTTTGTTTTTGAACAGGGACAAGGATGGTAAGCCCTGCATCTTTAAGAAAATTGCTGGAGTCTTGTAAAGATCTTTCTTTACTCGATGTGTCCTTCTGTTCACAGATTGATAATAGAGTTGTCCTAGAACTGAATGCCAACTTTCCTAACGTGTTCATAAAAAAGAGTTTCACCCAGTGACTCCCTACGTACGCTGCCGTGGAATTCATTTGACAGAGTTGCTTCCTGTGAATTTGTGCTAACTTTTTTTTTTTAAGAAGAATATAAATCCCTTATGACATAGTGGAAAGTATTAATTATCTACACAAATGGGTAAAATACATTTAAATATATTATGCATTTCTTAAAGAGTAGATATTGTACCTAAGAATTGTTTTACTCTGTGTTGATTGGTGGCACTGCATGTTTTTAAATACCAGCCATATGTGTGGCTTTAATGAGAAGAAAATGAATAATGTCTTAAATGTCCCTTTACAGGGTGTTACACACCACAGTAAACGATGTTAATATCCAGGTGAAAGCAGAAGCTCAATATTTAGCAGTAAGAATAAGATGGGTGCTTCCTTTTTATGTATATGTGTTTGTGTGTGTATACAGAAATGTATACAGATGTATTTGTATATACATACACACGTACTGTAGCATTCTAGTGTGGCCTGCAGCATAAGATGTTATGATCTGGCCTATAATTAGTTGTTTGAAAACCCATTTAAGCTTGTATAAGAATGGATTGAAAAGACACTTTGTCTTCATTTTTTTGCCAATGAATTGTACCTGATACTTTTTTTTTTTTCCTCGCTTCCTACACCTGAATTAGCTATAGTGATGTTTTACAGTCCAGCCTAAGCGACACAACAGATAAATAGGAGAATCTTCCGCCTGAGCTTAGACCAGAAATGAAAGAGAAAATTTACCAGCTGCTTCTTGGTATTTGATATAAAGTTTGAGCCAGGTACTTAGTGTCGTAACTGGTAACGTGTAGAAAACTCCAGAGCAATTTTCAAATTTCTGTCATGGTCAAGACTTGATTTGTGATACATCTGGTTATCACGCAAAGCACCATAAGAATTAGAACTTAGGATAATGCGCTAGCAACTGTCCCTTACACTGGCATCAAATCTGTTGTCAAGTGTTCTGTAAAACAGCAATGAAAATACAGTGAGTTTGAAACAAGGGCAATAGGATTTGGTGATTTAATAATCGCCAAAGCTTAGTATTGGATTTGGTTTAGTTGGGGGGTTATTTTTTTGTTTTTCCAAGAGGTGATTGCTCAAAGTACTATTGCACTCTCTCTCTTTAACACTGTTCAGCCTCTGGAGAAGGAAAACTTGTGTCAATGGACAAATTCTAGAGGTTTCTTCCTTTTGCACTTCCTTGGATGAAGTTTATATCTTTTTTTTTTCTTCTTTCTTTTTCTTGAATGCCTCTGCTAGAGTATGTTGCTATGTACAGCTTGAGTTCAGAACTTTACCTTTTTAGCCATTGTTGATGAATATGGACCATGAAATATAGCCTGTCATTTGATATTGCCTCCACTGTTCTTGTATCGATGGCACTTACTACCTACTGGAATAAGAAGGAAGATATTTTGTCTGGCAGAAGTACATTACTGCACCGAAGATCACTGGCAGTAAATAACCGACCGCTACGAGGACTGCTACGAATCATTAAAGATTTGATGATCTCTGTGACTCCTGAATGAATGCTTCGAACTCTTGTGCTGGTGCCAATACTTTATAAACCATGTCATGAAACAGCTACAGAACATTTATCTGATTTTATAAAAAGACCTTTTTCTTCAGATTTTTAAATTTTACAGAATCTTTTGGGAATTCCAGATCCAAAGAAGGGCATGCACAGTTGGCTTTTTGATTTATTTTTTTTCCTCCACACAGATGGCACTATGGGATTTCCAACTAGCTTATGCCATTCCATTTTTTTTTTCCCCAGAAAACTGGACATTGTCAGAGATCTTTAGATTGGTTTACTTTTTCTTTGTTTTCTTCTCCACACACTGACAGATGTCTGCTTGGGCGTGATTCTGTGAGACCTCATTTCTTTCAATCAGGTTTGGGTTGATTTATTTTTCTGGGAACTTAACTTCTAACTTTTTTTTATCTACGAGTAATATTTTTCATTGTAATTGATAATTAAACATTATTGTCCTAGTTCTAGGAGAACACAGGCTCAGATATTGGGAGTTTACAAAGAACAGTATTTCAGAACAAATGTTTTTGTTGTGAAATTTCACTTCTCAGGGTGCATCTGTGTTTATCTCCTTTTTTTCTTAGAGAACCTTCTTGTTTGTTTTTCACTGTAAATAGAATGGGATGTGGATGAAGTGATAGCCATTGTGCCTTCAAACTGGTAAACTTGGTAAATAATATAGTTTCACTTCTACAGCATTAGTGAATCAAATAAGTGTTTTTGTAATTGTGTATGTATAAAGGATTTAATTCTCTGTTGCTTTTTAGGAAGTATAAAGGAGGTTTAAATTGACATTTTGTTCATCTGAAAGGATTTTTTTTTTCTTATGTTGTGCCTTCTCTTTGAAATTGTTTTGGTCAGGAATTCTCTGTTGTCACTTGAAAGATAAATTGAAGTCTACTTTTTATTTGGACTATTTAAAACTTAGTTGTTGCTAACACATAATTAACTCAAATAGCTGAGAAATAATCGGGAAGGACTTCCGTCTAGGGCTGTAGACTTTAACCTCCAATCAGTGGGTAAGGAGCTTTTTTAGCTATGGCTTTATACCTCCAAGAAGTCTTCCAGCAAAGAGAGGATAGAACAGACTTGACATTTCTGATATTTCCAGGACAAAGAAAACAACATGCTTTCAGACCTTCCTTATACATCACAAAGAAGCAAGAATAGATCACTGTCTTTTTAGTTCTGTTATTTTATACTTAACTGTGTATATCTATTTATACATACGTATGCATAAGTTATATATATACACACACATATGTTTGTGTGTATATATGAAAATTTTTTGTATGTGTGTACATACTTATACCTATGCGTATGAATCTCAGAGTTTTTCGGGTAGGAATTACTTTTGTGAAGTGAATGTAATAGCAAAAGGTGTTTCATAGAATTTCTGTTTTCAACCCTTGTTTTACTGTACCTGGAGACTGAGTTCCTCTCCACTCACATGGGCAGGAGGGGTGTGCTGGATTTCCTGTGTTGCATTGCCAAAGTGCCTTTTGGGTTGTCTGCATGTGGAAGGTGTTACAGGGTATGGTAGAGTGTGAATGCACAGTCCGATAACTACTGTGGACTGCCTCCTTGTGAAGCGGTCGTATAGAGGGAAATTTGTTCTGGTTTCATTTAATCCAAAATGAATGACCCCAATTCCTCAGTTGGAGGAATTTAGTTATTCTGAAATTGGGTCATCTTCTCCAACACTAGGCTGTCCCTCAGTCATGTTACAGAAATTCTGCTTTTAAGGATATTCCATTTTTTATCTTGTCCTTTGATCGTGTCTGTCTTGTTGAAGCATTGTAAAAGATGTGCTTTGGCAACAGATGTTAAAAAAAACATTGCTAGCATGTCCAAAAAAAAAAAAAAGAGGCTTGCTCTGAAGCGCTCCTTTTTTTAAACTAAAGGGGGGCTTCCGTACTATCCGTATGAAAATGGTGTGGGATGGCATGTAGGTAGCTATATCATGCTTTTGGACATTTTAAAAATTAATATGATAATTTTACCATTTAAAGCACCTTCCCAAGTCTTGAAGGCTTCAATTTAATAGCGTACTTGTATTGATAATCCTGAGCTGTCTGGCTAGATAGCTCTATGGAAGTGGATGGTGTTTCTGTTGTTTAAATTATGCACGTGATTAAGTGCATTAGTGAGCAGAACTTATATGGAAGAACAGTTTTGCATAGGAGTTTGGACCTGATAATCCCCATGTGCTTGGAGGTCCAAATTTCAGCCCAAAAAAAAAAAAAAAAAAGGGAAGACTGATTCTTTCCTTGGGGCTCTCATGCCAACTTTTCCAGATACAAGATGTCCAGTAATCATGGTACACAGTGAGTAGAATTCATCTCGCTGAATGATAGCTCTCTGAAAGTTAGACATCTCGTTTAAGGCAGGAATCTGGGCATCTCTAGAGAGCTATTAATCTCCTCCTAAGGTAGATATTTAAGGAAAGTAGAATGAATAATTTTCTGGAGAGCCTCTCTGGAGACTGTGGAAGCTGTGATTTAGCTCAGGTTAGATACTTCACTTAAGAATACTAAACTGAGCTTCATTCCATCCAGTGTTGTACTGCCTGTCTTGGAATAGCAAAAAACAAGACCGGAATAACATCCATCCCCAAATATCAAAATCCTCCAAAACTCATCCAGAAAGAAGCAAATTGAAGAGATGCTGACAGCTTGAAAAGATCAGTGTTTTAAATGCCAGGATCTACTTCTGCCCCAAGTCCCTTGCCAATGCCTGTGGCGTGTCTTTTTATTTTGGTGGAAATGCATCCCCTTACCCTGTTTTAAAATCTCATGTACCTAACTAGCTATATGCGTAGTTCTGTAAATGCATGAAATTAATGGGAAAACGTAATTAATGTATTGCAGCTATTTTGATAATCTTTCATGTTGCTATAATTAAGACTATGACTAGTTTAACTGCTCTCTTGTCATCAGAAATGTCACCCACTGTGCGTTTGCAAAAACTGTGGTGTTAGTCCTGGTTCTTACTGTGTCTACTTACTGCATCTTATGGGATATGTCTCCCACGTCACATCTGCAGGATGACTGAATTTACAAAAACCAGATAAAATGTAGCATTTTATTATTTGGAGTATGGGGGTGAGTTTATATATTGATTTACATGTTCGTTATTACTCTTTTGCAATGATTCCGTAAGGTGTAGCTTTTGAAACGACTAGGCTAAAAATTCCTGACTTAATGCATCTGTACATGCTGTGTTAGACGCGGTCAATGTTTTTCCCCAAATGAAAGCATTTTTCCTTTACTGAGGTGATAATTTGTGTGATTTTAGCATTCTGATTTGACAAAGAAATCTGAGAAAGGGCTCTTTCTTAAATATTACCAGGCATGGGGCGGGTTGAGAGAGCTGACCTGAGGAAGGGCTGAGGTGTGAGTCTTGTGCGTTACAGATCCTCATGACCTTCAGAGAAGGGCCTCGGCAAGAAGTGACTTTTTATAAGATTCAGCCTCAGTAATAGCAGACAGTGGTGGGACTTTCCTTTTTAGCTAATGGACTAAGTACTGTTATTTTAGTTTGAGTAGCTCTCGTTTCTCCCTGTCCTGTTTTCATTTAAGAGTGATAAATAGCACAGTTAGGACAGACATCCTAAATTGGAGAGGATCCATGGTGAGGAGTGAAGTTTTTCTTTTGCACGTTTTGTTCCCCTTTTCCAAAACCAAACAAATAAAACCCCCCTCAACTATTTGAAAGTGCTCTTTTTTTTTTCCTTGGATACTGAAGAAATGCAAATGTCAAGATAGTTGAGAAAAGAAACAAAGGAGACTTATCCAGATATATCTGGAATCTCAAGAAAGGGTGGCCAGAGCTATTTATAGGCGCAAGGAAAGTAAGTGCATTGTTCGAAATCAGCTGTTATCTTTCCCAGAAATGTAGTTTCCCATTTAATTTCACATGCTCATACTTCTAAGTCAAGATTTATCATTTAGATGCTCTTAATACTGACCTTCCCTATATGTGCTTGTGTGGTAATTCCTAATGTCTTTTTGTTTCATTTTTATGAACTACATAAAAATATTTTTTTCTTCACCTACCAGTGTCCAGTTGCGTTTTTTGTTAAACTCTGAAATGATGATGTGAGACTTAATTGCTTAGGTTTTTTGCAACTGGTCCTTTTCTGAGGGCAAATAAACTGCAGTTTTGGGGTAAAAATAGTGGAGAAGGCTCTGGAGAGGCAGAGGCTCAGGGAAAATCTTATCAATGTATAGGAATACCTGGGGGGTTGGGGGGGGGAGGGATGAAGAGGAGGGAGCCAGATTCTTCTCAGTGATGCTCATGGGCAGGACAAGAGGCAATGGGCACAAACTGAAACACAGGAGACTCCATCTGAATACAAGACATCACATTTTATGGTGAGGGGTGACCAAGAGAGCCAGCAGAGTCTCTATCCTTGGAGATACTCAAAAGCCACCTGGGCATGGTCCTGGGCAGCCAGCTTGAGGTGGCCCTGCTTGAGCCGAGGGGCTGGACCAAATGACCTCCAAGGTCCCTTCTGACCTCAGCCATGCTGTGGTTTTGTGATCTGAGACTTGCCCTTTGGTCATTCTCTTTGCTACAATGTACTGGTTGCTTAAGATGGTAGGGAGGGGGGAAAAAGAAATAATACCTGTCTGAAGAAACTTGCAGTGTCGAGAACAATCACAACTCATTTGTTCATTTCCCCCCCCCCCCCCCTTTTTTTTTTTTAAGGGAAGTCATGTTTTTTCTTGATGTAGGTTAGTAGGAAAATCTAAACGTAACTTGCTAAAATAAAATTTTGGTAAAGTTTTCGACACACAGTTCTGTAATGTACAAACCACACATCATCAGTTTACAGGAGTAGTAACACTAGTCCGACGTCTGAGGGTGAGACCAAGGATGAAGATAAATATCCCTGGGTTTGGGTGCTGTCGATAGTTTCCATTTAGAAACTGAGTTGTCTATAATACATTAGGAACAGTTTAGTTTGCATATTTTTAGTATTTGTTTACATAGATCTTATAATAAATTGGGATTAGCATGGCTTAGGTGCCAGTTGTTTCTGCCTCCTCTGTCGGAAGCTGAGTGTAGTGGTTAGCTGTTCCTACTGTCAAACATGGAAATTTGAATTCAGATGAAGAGGACAAAGCTTATGAAGCACTGAACTGTCTGAGCATTTTAGGGAGATACTGCGTATAATAGTCACGAATTACCGTCTTTTGTGCGTTTATGTACCATCACACCATTGTCGGGAGCTGTTGGGCAGTGCAGTCCTCTGCTCGCTGTCAGGAGCTGCGTTGCCTCTGTCAGACCTTGGTCTCTTTAGATTTTATTTTCTTCAGGGCAGTGCCACAGGTTTTTGCACATACACGCTGTTCAGAAACTAATAGAGGCAAATTAAAAAGAGCTGTTTGGGCTGTGATTTGGAAACTAATGGCTAGCCTATGCTTGGAGTTATTTTGGAAGAGTTACTGAAAGCAAATTAAAATAACCAGGAATTGGTGTGCCTGTAGCGGGGGGGGGGGGGGGGGGGCATGCACTTTCTGATTTAACTTTTATGTACAGACAAGTCCTAATTACCAGCTGTCCCTTGAGCCCTCTTAGCGAAATCGATGTGATGGTCTCATTCTCGTTCTTCCTAGTGAGCCGAAAGCCACTGCGGCCCTTTAGCATCCTGTGGCTTTTTGCAGTCATCTCCTTACCAGGCAGGTAGCGGAGCTGGGGTGTGTGGAGGCTGGCCTGATCTCCACAAGTGAGGTGCGGGAATTGCCTGGGAAGTTTCCTGCTCACATTTATTCCCGTGTACAGATGAGAAGGAACGGCATCTCCAGGCCTTCACGTTTAAATACCTGAACCCAGCACCTGGATTTAAAAATAGTAGGTCCCATCCCACCCCCAGTCCCAATAACCAGCAACAAAATACTTGCACTGTATTTATGATTTTCTGCCGCAACAATAGGAGTTTGTGTAACATTACAGCAAACTCCTGCTGCGTTACCTTTTAAAGGGGGTGATGTATATAAAAGGTGGAAGAGCAGCAATAGAGGGAACTGATCTGGACACTATCTGTAAATAGCTCTGCTGTGCATGCTAGGCCAGTAAGCACCAGAAGCAAGTTATGCCTTTTTTTAATAACAAGTCAGGAAGGGGAAAAGGAATAATTGCCTCTAAGCACATTTTCTATATCTGGATGTTATTTTATGTCATCTGATTTTAAATATCTGGGATAGATAATAAAGTTAGGAAACTAGTCTCCTAGGGTCCCTTCACCCTGGAGGGAGAGGTTCCTCCAACAAGGTAATTCCGCTCAGGAGATCAATCTTAAATTGAGGTCTTGAATTGACTTCTGGAGAAGCTGAGGTCCACGTGGACCACATAAAGTTTCTGCTGGAAACAAGCTTCCTGAACTTCCCGCGCTGTCCTAGCAGGTGCGGGTTCGGAGTAAGATGCTCCCTATTAGCCCCCTGGCTTCTCTTGCTTCCATCAAAGGCCACCACTTTCTTTGCTCGGTTGGTTGAGCTGTATCTGATTGCTCCCTACAAAATGTCTTGGGTAAAACTAGAAAACCTTTTGTTTTCTAGTAGGTGAGTGTTTAAAGCTTTTTTTTTTTTCCCCCCCCTTCACTCTCCCAAGTTGGGTATTAAAGCCGGCAGAAGGATGAGGGCATTTAACTTCAGTGAAATTGTAGGTGGGAACACATTGGTTGTGCAAATGTTTTCATTCAAATCGGCATAAACGAGGATAGCCACTCTTGATTGCGTTCCAAGGCTCCTTAGCTTTCAGATAGTTCATCTCAGTACTGCGTCGCCAAGATGTCCAAACAGAGGGGGTTTATTTTCACCTCATGATGCCGGATCAAGCCCTAAACTATAAAATGCTACTGTGAATGTATGAGAACGTGCAAGTCCTAACCGGCTTCAGTAAGTTCCCTAACTAAGGTCCTACAAGCAACAGGCATGGGAAGGTTTGGATTAGAAAGGCTAATAAGAACGTATTTAAAGCATGGTGAAGGCAGTGGTTAGCAAAATCAAAAGTGGGAGGTGGGGGGAGTGGTTCATGAATGTGTTTTTCATGACTGCATCCTGACGTTAAGCTACGTGGGCCCATGAAGCTGTAACGTTTGCTGCTTTGCAGTGTCGCAGTCCTGAATAGAGTCAGTATTGGGTACAGTCTGGGGTTGTTTGGCCTGGAGAAGAGGCTCAGGGGAGACCTTATAGCCCTCTACAACTGCCTGACAGCAGGGTGTAGTGAGGTGGGGGTTGGTCTCTTCTCCCAGGTAATGAGGGGAAATGGCCTCAAGTTGCGCCAGG